ATTTTTTGTCAAAATTTCTTATAATACTATAGATTTATCAGATTTTTTATATTTTTGAAAGGAAATTTTTGATCAAGAATTTGATGCCAAATTTCTGTCTTTCAAAAAACTCTTAAAATCACAAATTTTCAAGTTAAACTAACATTTTCAGTTTATTTATTCCGTAATATTTTTTCAGTGTTTTTCAGCTTTCAACCAATTTATCGTCAAGTAATAACAACTTAATAATCATCACAATCAACATAATTCTTTTTTTTTAAAATATGTAAATATATTAACGACAAATTAGGCAAATTTTTAAATTATACAACGTTTTCAACGTTCAAAAATGAACTAAACTTATCAATTCAAGTCTATTTATTCTGTTTATGCTATTTTTTGTCAAAATTTCTTACAAAATCTATAGATTTACCACAATTTTATAAAACAAATTTTTGTTTAAGAATTCGGTGAAATTAGATACCAAATTCCTACAATTTTTCAATGTTTTTCAACTCTCAACAAATTTTTTCTCAAGAAATAACAACATACTCATCACAATCAACATAATTCATAACTTTTTTGAAATAAGTAAATATTTTAATGTTAAATTAGGCAAATATTAACAAGAAAGGAATTTGTAAGTTGTACATCATTTTCAGTTTTTTAACTAATTTTATTATATTCTAATCGATTTTCTGCTCATTTTTTGTCAAAATTTCTTGTAAAAATCTATAGATTTACCACTTGAATAGTTTTAAAAACGAATTTTTGCACAAGAATTAGTGAAATTAGGCTCCAAATTCCCGTGTTTAAATTTTCAACGATAAAAAAATGCTAAAAATTAAAAAAATGAGTAACTGGCGAGTGAAACAAACATTTTCAATTTATTTATTCTACACATATCATCACATTTACTCATCACAATCAACATAATTCTTGAAATATTAAAATTAAAAATATTATTAAATATTAAATATTTTAACGTCAAATAAAGCAAATTTTTAATAAGAAAGAAATTTGTAAATTATACAACATTTTCAGTTTTAATTAGTTATATTCTTTCTAATCTTTTTTGTCGAAATTTTCTACAAAATATTTGTTCAAGAATTTTGTAAAATTAGACACCAAATTCCTGTCTTTTACTTTTCAACAATAAAAAGAGATTCTAAATATTCAAGAAACCTGTAATTTGCAAGTTAAAGAAACATTTTCAATTTATTAATTCTACACAATTTTTTAATACTTTGTCAATAATTCTCTACCTTGTTTAAACAAGTGAATATTGTATACTCAAATTTTATAAAATTTTATTCTTATCGATTTTTTGAATTTTTTTTTGTCAAAATTTCTTGAAAAATCACCAAAAAATTCCACTTTTTTGTATCACCATCCATCCCGAAACCTTCACTTCTCAATCAACTCCCGTCGTAATCACGAATCCTGGAGGGGGAGTCCGCTTATAAGCCCAACCACCCCTTGCTCTCATTTAGTCCCCCAGCACGATGGCCGAGTGCCACGACCTCTCGTACGACGACAGCTGCGACTCCGGTTACGACCTCTCCTTCAAATCCGAAAGCGACGACAAACCGGAGCCCTTCGACTGCGACTTCCACCCCAACCCGGCCCTCCTCGACACCTTCACCACCGCCTTCCACTCCACCCTCGACAACTTCTACACGCTGTGCGCCGCCGAGGCCAAAACCTCCACCCCCACCAAGGAGAAGCCGAAGAAACGCTACGGGAGAGCCCCCAGGAGCAAGAGCCCCTCGCAGATCCTCCGCATCAAGCGCGTCCGGAGGCTCAAAGCCAACGACCGCGAACGCAACAGAATGCACATGTTGAACGAGGCCCTCGACAGGCTGAGGTGCGTCCTCCCCACGTTCCCTGAAGACACCAAGTTGACGAAAATCGAAACGTTGCGGTTCGCTCATAGTTACATTTTTGCGTTGACGCAGACTTTGAGCGATTTGGAGAGGTGTTCCACGAGTGGTGAGAGTGTGACTGTCAATGTCGGGAATGTCACTGTTTCGATAGGGAAAAGCGGGAATTGCATCACGGCGAGGAACGGGAATGCGGTCGTCACTAGTGGGAGTATCACCAATGCCAGTTTTATGCAGGATTACCACTACACGGGAAGACAGGATGACGGGTTTGTCGACCAAGGGTTTCCTGCAGGGAATTTTCTCAACAATAATTGCTACGAAAGCAACGATTTCATGTACGAATATTTGTAAGATGTGTGATAACGATTCTAGTCAGGCCTTAACTTGTGCTTTGTACCAAACTGTGAAATAGATTTTTATTTTTATTAAGATTGAAATGTATTGCAATATTTTAATAAAGATTTAAAGTTGATTTTTTCGCCTCATTTACAAAAAAAAATTAAGTCAATTTTAGCTTATTGTTTGCCATATTTTTTGTTAATTTAATTTTATAATTTTTTTTAGAAATTCGCAAAAAATCTCTTACGTTTTGATACTTTTTGCTTCTAAGCTAAGCTTGTTTTGTATTTTTAAAGTCAATCATTGTTTAGTATTATTCTTCTTTAATTCTCCCCCAAAAACGTAAAACGTATAGATTATAAACAACGTTAGTCTTGCAAATTTTTATGAATATTTTTTTTATATTTTTTATTACTAGGTACGACATTGTCTTGTGAATTATTTTTTAAACAAAGAAATTTCTGAATTGTTCCTTTCAATAAGAAGAAAAATTATTATTTTTATTTTATATTATTTTATTTCACTGTTCTGTAAAATTTTATTAAAATTAGAGATTATCAAGTTGAACAGACGAAATTTAGAAGTTTTTTTTTAGTTTCCAATTTCAGGGCTAAATTTGAAACAAAATGTTTGAATATTTTGGATTTAGTTCAAAAATTGCAACAGTTGCAATGTAGTTTTTAAAGCCAATTTTCACTTATTATTTGCCATAAAATTCAGAAGTTTTTACATCTAGAACTTTTTGAAATTCTTCATTAATTCTTCCCCTGAAGCTTTACATTTTTTTTAATCTTTAAATTGAAGCGAATTTTTGTTAAGAAATAAAAATAAGTCTTTAAGGAAATTAAAGAAACTTTGTCAGACTTGTAAATAATTAATGAAATTAGAAATTTTCAAGTTAAACATTGTGTTTTGTAAATTATTTTTCAAACAAATTTTATTTTCTATAATTTAGGAGTTTTTAAAGTCAATTTTTACTTATTATTTGACATAAAATTTAATAGTTTTTACGCCTTGAACTTTCTTTCAATCTCTTTTCAGCAAAAATGTTTGTTTTTAAATTTACTAAAACATCTAGGTACTATTTTGTCTTGTATATTATTTTTTAAACAAATTTCTGATTTGTTCTTTTAAATATAAGAAGAAATTCTTCTAAAATTATAAATTAGCAAGTTAAACAGACGAAATTTTCTATTTTTTATTCGTTTTATAGAATTTAGAAGTTTTTACTCTTCAGTTTCCAATTTACAATTTAGGAGTTTTTAAGTCAATTTTTACTTATTATTTGACATAAAATGTAATAGTTTTTACGCCTTGAACTTTATGAAGTTTTTCTTTCAATCTCTTTTCAGCGAAAATGTTTCAATCTCTTTTCAGCGAAAATGTTTGTTAAATTTTACTAAAACATCTAGGTACTATTTTGTCTTGTATATTATTAAAAAAAAAACAAATTTCAGATTTGTTCTTTTAAATATAAGAAGAAATTCTTTTAAAATTATAAATTATCAAGTTAAACAGACGAAATTTTCAGTTTTTTTATTCTTTTTATAGAATTTAGGAGTTTTTACTCTTCAATTTCCAATTTCAGGTGTTGTGTTTTCCAAAATTTGAAAGAAAATGTTTGAATATTTTGGATCTAGTTTAAAAATAGCCTTTTTGATGACATAGTTGTAAAAAAATTGTAGTTTTTAAAGTCAATCCTCACTTATTATTTGCTATAAAATTCAGAAGTTTTTACATCTTGAACTTTCTGAAATTCTTCTTTATTTCACCCCCAGAAGCTTTACATTTTGTGAAGTTTTTAAAGCAAATTTTTATTAAGAAATAAAAATAAGTCACATTTAAAGAAATTAAAGATTTTATACTTTGTCAGTCTTGAATTTTAATGAAATTAGAAATTTTACGTTAAACATTTTGTTTTGTAAATTATTTTGTAAACAAATTTTATTATCGTTACAGAATTAAGGAGTTTTTAAATTCAATTTTTACTTATTCTTTGCCGTAAAATTTAATAGTTTTTACGCCTTGAACTTTCTGAATCTCTTCTTTCTTTTTCTTTTCAGCGAAAATGCTTGTTTAAATTTTACTAAAAAAATTATACATTTAGGTATTATTTTGTCTTGTATATTATTTTCTAGAGAAAGAAATTTCTTCTTAAAATTATAAATTAGCAAGTTAAACATATGTACAAAATTTTCAATTTTTTATTCGTTATAAAATTTAGGAGATTTTACTTTTCAATTTCCGATTTCCGAAGTTGTGATTTTAAAAATTTGAAAAAAAACACCAAAAATCGCTTTTTGACGCAATAGCTGTGAAAAAATTGTAGTTTTTAAAGTCAATTTTCACTTATTATTCGCTATAAAATTTAATAGTTTTTCGTGTTGAACTTTCAGGTCATCTTTAATTCTCCCTCAAAGTCTATACATTTGACTACAATTTTGTAAAGCTTTTACGCAAATTTTTATTAAAAAATAAACTATCATAATCTAACTGAAGTTTTATTATTTTTTAAAGAGTCTAAATATTGTTATTGTCTGGTAAATTCTTCTTAAAATTAGAAATTGTCAAGTTAAACATACAAGATTTTCAATTTTTTATTCGTTACAGAATTTAAGAGATTTTACTTTCCGCTGTTGTGATTTCAAAAATAAGAAAGAGAATGTCAAAAAGCCGCTTTTTGATGCAATAGCTGTGAAAAAATTGCAGTTTTTCAAGTCAATTTTCACTTATTATTTGCTACAAAATTCAATAGTTTTTACGTCTTGAACTTTCAGATTATCTTTAATTCTCCCCCAAAATCTGTACATTTAACTACAATTTTTTAAAGCCTTTACGCGAATTTTTATTAAAAAATAAACTAACTTAATCCAGCTCAACTTATAATTTTTTTTAAAGATTCCAAATATTGTTATTGTCTCGTAAATTCCTATTAAAATTAGAAACTATCAAGTTAAACAGACCAGATTTTTCAATTTTTTTAATCGCTATAGAGCTTTGAAGTTTTTCTATTCAATTTCCAATTTCAGTTGTTGTGTTTTCCAAAATTGAAAGAAAAAGTTTGGATTTAGTGCAAAAATAGCCGTTTTGGCGCACTAGTTGTGAAAAAATCGTAGTTTGGGTGCGAATTTCGTGAGAGCGCGCTTGTTATTGAGTCTGTTTCTTGCTTGAACAGAGCCGAAAATAATTGGTTTGTATCGCAAGCCAGATTTAATTAAAACGTATCTTTATTGACATAGGTGTATTTAATATGACAAAATTGTACAATGCTCCAAACATTTGCTTGTTTGCTGAATACACGTGTATTTATTTAAATTATTCAGTAGCTTTTAATAACGGACAGGTTACTGACATTTATTTGTTTTATTTGAAACAATTATTTACAAATCACTCGTAAATTTCACTTGTCACCAGATAACAAAATTGATAATCCCTCACCCGGCATAATAATCAAAACGATTTTTCTTAATACCAATTACTTGATTGTTTTGCAACAAAATTCGACGTGGCAAAAACCAAAGCAAGTTTAAACCACATTAAAAAACATGTGTTGGGAAGTGATTTGGAAAATATTTCAGCGGTTTCTGAGATTCTGAAATTTGCTGAAATATGTTAAAATAAATCAATCCAAGACGTTCAGACAAGACGTGAGCAGCTGAAAACTGAACAGCTTTGTTACATTTAAAAAATTAAGTCGGGTCTCCTCTACCGATTATTTATTTACCGGAAATTCGATGAATTTCCAACAAAGGCAAACCGTTTTATCCCTTTCTCTGAAACAAACCATGAAATTCGCCATAAATCCAGATCGACAGAAAGGGTTAGGTGTGCATTGAAAAGATTTCAATAAAATTCGTCACGACTGAAAATTTAATGTTTCGAAAAAAATTTCAGCGAAATCGATATTTTCAACCATGCAGGATCCATTAAAGGATCATTTTATGGTCCGCCAGGCCTGTTGCAAGATCAGATAGATTAGTTATTGTTAAGTAAATCAGATACTGGAGCTGATGAATGGATAAAAACCCTCATTTAGAAGGGAAGCTTTGAAAGCTCGAACAATTAAAAATGTGTTTTCGGACGTAAGCCACTACAATTTTGAATAAGTTTAACACATTTCAATTTGAAAAAATATTTACTTATTTTGACCCAAGAAAGAAAGTTGCAAGGCGAAGACGAAACTTAAAAAAAAAACAGCTTGCGTTTGTCTAACTTTGTAAAAAAAATGAGACTAATAATATTTCGAACCTTTAATTTTAATTTTTAGTAAAAAATTGGAAATTTGCCAAATATTTATTTGTTTAAGAGAAATCAAAGCCCAAAAAATTCATAAATTAAGCTCGGGTTTGAGTCATATTATTGTTATTTGCTATAACCGTTGAATCAGTTATTAAAAAACTGTGGTCAAATTTAAAGGTTTTTATAAAAATTGAACATTGAAATCCGAAAATCATTTTTTATCTAGTAAAAAATTTCAATTTTTTTGTAGATATTTAAAATTGAATTTCATTATTGCAACTTATGCCATTCTTTTCTACTAAGATAAAAAATAATCTTAAAACTAATAACATTCTTAACTTAAAATGATGAATAAAAAACTTTGGGTCTCTCTTCAAATTTTACGAAAATTCGTTTTCTTTAGCTTTCAAATTATATTCAAGATTCAGTACTTAAAAAAAGAAGAGTCTCTGTAGTTTAAAAAAGCTCAAAAGTTATTTCGTTTCATAACTGTACGTATTTTTAAAAATAATGTTGAAAAAGTTAGGATTTTTTAACGAAACTATATTCATGACTATTTACAAGTAAAAAATATGAAGGTAAAAAGTTATTAACAATCAAAAATATATATAAAATAAAAATACAAGAAATGTAATCCCGACATAAATAGAAAAAATATTATTTTTCACTGCTCACAAAAGGGGAAAACAGAAATAGCAAGTCTTAAAAATGGCCCTAGTTGATTGTTTCTTTCAATTTTTGTAATTTAACAATAATGTCTGAATTTTTTGTGAAGAAAAAGTAAGCATAAAACTGCAAAAAAATTATTGATATTCCATGAAACAACAAAAAACAATGAATAAAAAAAATAACGAATTGAAAACTTCGGGTTTCTATTCATATTTTTAGGAAAATCCGTATTTTTTGTTTTCAAATCTTTAGTTTAATTAAACATTCGAAACTCTATAAAATAAAGTTGGAAAAGTGTTGTAAAGCAAATGTCGGAAAGTGTTTACACGTAGATTTTATGCAAATTAAAATTATGTAATAATAATAAAAATTGTGTATAGCACCCTGTTTAAAAAAAATAAAATTTTTGTTTCTTGATTTTACAAAAGTGTTGATTTACTTGTTATATGTACATTAACGAGCTAAACAAATAATGAATAAGTGACATAAATGAAAAGAATTATAGGAAAAACTAAAAACTTGATGTGGAGTGCATTGTTAGTTGCATAAGCTCAGAAAAGAAAATTTAATTTTTTGAGTTTTTTGTTTATTTTGGTGGGTATGGTAAGAAAAGTGCGAATAAACAACAATTTTTTTATTAAAATTAATACAGTGGCGGACATGAAATTTTGGACATCAAATTTATGTCAGTTCAAAAAATGTCATTGTGCCACGCTTTATTGTCATTATAATTGACGTTTAAAACTACAATTTGAAAGTTTTAATTGAAATTTATTTTTAGCGTCGATTTTCCGAAACAATAATGCCAGCAATACGTGTTTTTATATAAGTTCAATAAACTATCTTGATTTTTTATCTTTTCTTCTCTAGCTATCAGAACAAAAATTTCAAAAACCGAAAGTGCTTGTTTTACATTTTTCTGTCGTCCAAAATTCCTTGTCCGCCAGTGTATGTAAGACAAAATGAGTACACAGTCGTGTATGCTTGGTTGCATATACAGGATGCGCCAAAACTCGCGCCCCAGAAAAAAATTTCAAGTAAGATAAGAAACCAGGAACATTGACATTTATTTTTTGACATTTGACATTTTTTTTATGTCTATTTAATGATATTGATGATCTTGTATATGTTTTTTTAGAATTATTTAGTAAAGGTACAAAAATTTTGCCAATAAAAGCCACAAATAAAATTGAACAGTGTTACAATTTAGGATACAGCTTCTTTTTTTCCTCTTCTAATAGACTGTAGCAAAAAAACTTGGAAAATTAATTTTTCAACAGAAATAAAAAGAGTCAAAGTGCAAATTTCAAACTCTCATAACTTCGAAATTTTTATAGATAACATTTTTTCATGTTGCTGGCATCTTACCTATGGGCGCCCGCAGAAATTATGGCCAGGAGAGAGCAAAAAAAGAGTCGAAATTAATAATAACAGTTTTATTTGTCTATTTTCATATCACTCAGTTCGTGATAAAAATGTAAATATTAGTTTCTTATTTAGTTCATGAAGATTTAAGTTGGAACGTGTTTGTGATAAATCAAAAAAATCTTTTTTTTATATCAAATATAGCAACCACTATCGTCCCAGAGAGGGGGGGGGGGGCAACGGCCCCCATGACCTTACCTTATATGGATGGCATTTTTCTCTGGGACGCAAGTTCTGGCGTATCCTATATAGATAAAATACGCCATTGTGTATTGTTGGCTGCATAAGCTCAAAAATTTTGTTTTTATTCTTGGAGTTTTTTAATTGGATGGGGTAAGAAAAATGCGAATAAACGACAAATTGTTTATTAAAATTAATAAGTAAAACAGAACATGAATACATAGTCAATTACTTGCATTTAAATTACTTATATACAATAAGTAGTTGATAATTATACTCCCAATGCAAGGAGTGGGTTCGTGATGGCTGTACACATTACATTACATTGTGTAAATTTTAACAGTGTGACAATGTAATGTTATCGTCTAGGAACACATAACTGTTGCGTTAGTTACATAGTGAGTGTCACAGCATACAGTAAGAATGAAAAATACGTCGATGACGTTTGCTGGTAGAATCCATACTACATGCAAAGACTAAAGGAAAATCCCTCAATCTATGACAGTAGCTCTTACCTAGAATGTCTAAATAGGTATGCGCAATATAACAATCTATTAAATATTACAATATAATCTGACGAGATTCTGGCGTTCCCTGAATAGGTAGGTACTATTACAATATAATTTTTAAAATTTTCATTGCATTTTGTACTTTTGGTATTCCTGAGTTTACATAAACACCTAGGTAAGTCGCATATAAAACAATATACAATTACATTGTTTGTACTAACATTTTCAACGAAGGAGTAGTGGAATACATTATTAGTCTGAGGTAGATTTACAATTTTTTACCCATAAAAATTCTTGTTTCTTTGTACTGTCACGTAACATGTGTCGATTATATTATAAATTGTGACCTCTGTATTGAGTTAACAGGCAACAAATAACATTATTCGAGTGCCAATATATACAAACAGCCCCTCGGGGGCGCATCTGCGAGATCCGCCCCCGACAGACACCCAAATGTGATAACATATAGAGAAGTAACAGTCATACAACGCATGCACACGCCTTAAAAATAATAACATGCATGTATGTAAAAAAAAATCCCTGAACAAATACCTGAGATTATTGCAAAATTATGAAGAAACGTCATATTCACATCGATTAACATTGCATTGCCACTAGTAAATACAATATGACACAGTAGATGTAAACATGTAAAAACAGATGGAAAACGACTCGTGATAACATCAGGAACAGCACAAATTTATAGAAAAGCCGTTTACCAAACACATTCAAACACTGACCAAATCCTCAATTTTATCAAAATCGAACAATTCCGTTTTCACTTATTTTATTTTTGTCCAGTTCCATCACCAATCACTGTGCCAAAACCCCAATTTTTTCTTCATAAGATTAAAAAAACTCGATTTTTATAGTTGACACGATCAACTCTCAACAAAAATTTCTCTTTTCTTTCTCAAAGAAGTAAGAAGGGTAGGTATTACATACAATATAAACTTAATTACACTTTAAGCCTAAAGTAACTATAACATATACATATATAAAAACACGAAAATGGAACCCTGAATGCCTCAGATTCAACGTTTGCTTCAAATCCACAAAAACAAAAACGATTCTCAAATAAATATAATTACAACACAACAATTCACTTTTGTTTTCGCAAATTCAAGCGCAAACCATGACATGCGTATTTACAGCCGCAAAAAAATCGTAAATTAACTGAGTGCATTGGGACGAAGCTACTCAAAAACACAGTGTGCAGTGGTCGTTGCAAATCGAGGGACCGCTAACTTAGAAAATGCCTACAACCAACCCTAATTCCAAAAAATTACACCGAAATTCCAATAATCCATTGTAATTACATTGTTTTCAGATTAATTCCTATAACTCCGAATTAGAATTTTCAAAAAAAATATACAGGGTATTTCACATGACTTTACGAGGCTTGCGCCTAATGTACGCACCCAAATATACAAAAGTCACAGAACACTGGATACAAAAAATACACATTTAATTTTTGGAAACCCATGACAGTAGTTGTCAAACTAACAAAAATAGTCATAAACTGCAGTTTTTCAGAAATAATTATCATTTGTTCTATCAAGAGACGGCATGAATATGATTTTAGTTTATCTATCTTAATCACTAACTAACTAAAAACGTTGTAATTTTTGAAAACTAGAGAAGATTATCCAATTTTTCAAAATTTGTAATCGAGTTCGTATCGGAATGTATTATTGATTGCATCTTAAAGGCGCAGGCCTCGTAAAATTATGTGAAACACCCTGTATATATTTTTCGTATAGTTCCAAAAAGAATTCCAGTAATTAATTAATTTCAAAGTTAAAGGCCCCTCGTTTCAGATTGATGTGAGCTCCAAACCCACCTGAATTTTGTACTGTGGTCGTTTTTTATAAAAAGCTCTCAATTGAATAACAGTGCAATTACAATTCCTATAAAATATAATTATTTCTTTATTAAAAAAATCTATAATTAGAATAAATTAGCGATGAATTGTCATGTTTTATGAGGTAGTTGATGTAACTGAAAAAGCCACTTGTGTCTGTACGTATATAACAGTAACTGTATGAAAAATAGACCCGTAATACAAGAGAAAAATACTGTAATATATAGATTGTTGAGGTAGTGTTACAGAAAGTAGCTATTGATTTAATGACTAGTAGCTTATAATTAATATCTATTTGGTTCATTGTATAGCAATTATGGCATGTTGTTACCTTCAATAAACCCCAAATCGCAATGACACAATCAGGGTCCTGTTTTCAACGCAAATTGAGCCAACAAAATTTCGGATCACATTTTTAACGTGAATTGTATTCACCCAAACTATTTCACACACGTCGTTAAAGCTTAATCACGTGATTAGGAAGGAAAATGAGAGGGGAGGGGCGAAAAGTAATTTGCTACCATACCTGAGCTTCGATTTTAACTAAATTCTAAATGTGTTGCACTAATGACTAGCTGATACTAAAATGGTAAAGAAAACTGAGGCAGCCGTTAAAGTTATGAGGTAGTTTCTGGGTTAACGGTTATAACCGCATGGCCAGGACGGTTAATATTCACATACACCCTGGCATACAAAACTTCGCTTAATTAATACTTAAAACTATCGACGTAAGTAGTTTAAAAAAATAATATAAGTACAAGGGAAAAAATTAGAGACCTCGAGACAATTTTTCCGCACCGCTGTAATCTTTCGGTCTTAAAATGATAACAACCTGAGTGTAAAGAAGCTTAAACCTTAGCACTTGCACATTTTTACAAAACAAAACAAGACCAGCTCGTATTGTTTCTATCTCTTTACGTTTTTTTTTTCCTACTCCTTAACTAAAGTATAAAAAATGACACGTACCATATTTAAGATAACAACACAGACAAGAGTCATGAATCCGAGACAGGAGCGCAAGACGAGAATATATTATATTTACATCAGATCTCAAGCTTTGACGCATGTCTCGGGGTGCACCTTACATTAAAAATATCAGGTAGTTGTGGTATCAGGTTTTTCTTATGGATTATGGTTGTGTACCTGCTGTTGCTGGTTTTGAAACGCCTTCAGACTCAATTCGGCTTTGTGTTCGCGGGCTATGTGTCTCCTCACTGTATTATTGCGGGTGAAAGTACGTGAACAGAACGGACAAGGCACCCGGATCCCCTGGTGCCGCTGTCGTATGTGAGCGCGCAAGTTGGTCTCATATCCGTACAATCGTTCACAAAAAGGGCACTTCAATTTCTTGCCTGCAACAAAATTCTAATTCAAATTTCACACCAACACGACGGGCGTAAAAACCCCAAACTAATGGGTTGGTATAACAATGACTTAACCTCACTTTTGTAAAAATTGCTCTTTCTCTTACCGTCTGGCGTATTAACCGTTCCGCTTTTATGCGACAACTTTCCAGCCACAGAATTCCACAACGACGCTGGCACCAAATCCTTGTCCCTCTCGTGATCATACTTATTAATCTGTCCCAGTGACCCATTTGCCGAACCATTATTGCTTATCCCTCCACTACTTCCGCTTGTACTGTTTGGCGGCTCATCTTGCTGAATAGCCGGCTCCATTTTCATCCTCAAATCTGCAACAAAAACCCCATTTAACACCTACTTTACCTCAAATTAGCCCCTTAGTGATATAACAATTACCAACATTAGAGATGGGCAAAAAATATCGATGTTTTTCAAAAATCGAATATTGGTCAAATACATCGATTTAAAAATGTGTAAGTATTTTTTTAAATATCGATGTTTTTACTTCGATACATCGAAATTGGTTCAGTTAATTATTTTTAACTATCTTTAATTGTTTTAATTTTAAAATTTCATTCAAAAAATTTACATTCGATGTATGGAGAATTCGATGTTTTTTAACAAAATTAACGATGATGAAGTGATGTGTTTGTATTTATTTATGTTTTATGCAAGAATTGTAAGAAATATGTTTGTATTTGTATTTTATTATGTTCCAAAAATGTATTATTAAAAAAATTGAGAGGTTAATGTTTTTTTTTTCTAATATTTCTTATTCGATCATCGATTTCACAGAACATCGATATATATTTTTCGATGTTCCTATCTCTAACCAACATTAAAAACAAAATGTCAATTAAAACATAATTAACTATTGCTTGAAACAATAGAGTGCAAAGAAGGTTTAAACGCATTAATTAAGTCTATTTTATTAATTTTAATAATTTGAAAGTGTTTCCGGCACCAACTTCACAAACTCAAATTTCCTAGATTTTTCAAAAAACATTTTTTGGTTTTACCTTCAGCACAGCCGCTGTCTTGACAGCACTCCGAGGTGTTGCTCTCGGGGCAGACCACCGCCGTGGCCGGATCGGGGTCAAACCTATTCTCGGGCGGTGCGTCGGCCTCGGGCTGCAGTGGCAACGAGGGCCTGAAAGCCAGTGATAGCGGCCCATGGGGGCTGCCTGGACGTCCGGCCGTTTTGCTCCCGTCGCGTAAAACCGACGCTCGTTCGTGTAGAGTCTCGCTCGGGCTGCGCAACGGCCGTTTCATCGCCGATTCGAAGGCAGCCCCCGTGGCGGGCATCCGCTGCTCGTACTGCCGGTAGTGATGTGGGTGCATATATGGGGACATGGCTGGCGAGTAGCTGGGGGACGGGCTCGACTGCTGTTGGCTGGAGGAGGTGTCCATCTCCTCTTTGAGGACTTTGAGGTGTTTACGAGGGGTGTCCAACGTCGTATCCATGTGGCTTTGGGCCACGGCGAGTTTCTCGTGTTCGATGCTCAGGCCTTTCACCTGGAGACATTCGGCAGCTTTGAGGAAACTGGAGAGACAGTCCTGGGATACGTGGACTTCCCCTTTGTACATGAACTCCAACAGGGCTGACATGTTAGACGCTGAGGTGCCATCGAGGATGATTATTAGGTTTTGGTGAGGGGGCGACGTCTCGAATAAGTCGGCTAAGTGTTTACTACATGCTGCCAGGATTAGTTTGTGAGCTTTAAATGTTACACCTGAAAAAAGAAACAATTTGGAAATTTGAAATTTGGCGGGAAAAAAATCACTCACCGTCACAAAATAACGTCACATCGGCCAAAGTTTCGGATTTGAAGAGGTTGCTGAACGATGTTGCAAGATTTGTACCAAAACTGTTCCATTTCAAACAGAATTGTTGTTGCTGAGAGTCCATCTCAACACCAGAATGGAAAATATTATGAGCTGCAACAAAAATTCAAGTTAATCTTAAGGTTGCAATTTTTCATGGAAAATTCTAGATGGCGCCCAGTTTACATCTATCACAAAGCACCAAAACAATAAGTAATTACACCAATCTATCAACCCATCAAATCTCGCTTTCTGTTTCGTGGGAACTGAAAATGAAAATTCGCCACGAGAAAAACAAAACAAAAAAATTCTTTCATTATTTAATTACCAATCAAGTTGGTATAAAGTAGAAATAGGTGTTTTTTGAATAATTTGGTAATATTTTTGGCGCTAATCTTTAAAGCTTCCTCCGTACCCCGCTAGATGTCTCCTGTTTGTATTTTTTCACGTTACCAAAGCAATCAATCTTTCCACCAATCAAATTTCTCCTTTTTATCATTAAACCCAAATTCAAAAATTTCGATTCCAATTATCACGGACGAAAATAAAGCAAATATTTTGTCACACGTAAAAACTTCAATTTGAATCTGTAGATGTCTCTATCCCCCGTTGCCAAGACAATTCTATCTCTCCACCAATCAGCTCGTTCTCTTTTGTTTCGTGAAAATGAAAATACGATCTTTGTCACATTCGAACGCGTAGTGCAATCCCATGGCCAACCACGATGCAGATAGCGCTCTTACGCCACTCACTCAACCTTGTATTCGGTAATAACGCGTGTCCAGGCCCGGACCGACCCGCTATGCAGCCGAAAATTGGCCTTGAAGAGAGAGCCGGACTCACGCTTGCATGAAAAGTACGCAATTATCGCGCACAGTGCACGGCCCGGACCGAGAGGGGTGCATAAATTACCCAAAGTTGCAGAAAAATTACATAATAGCCACTTTGCGTGTGCTGACAAATACTTCAAATATTAAAGAATCCGAAAAACAGCTTTAAATGCGTTTCAAATTAATCAACTTGTCACTTGCGCCAAAGGATCGCGTCCTGTCTTTAACGAACACATCAAAAATGATGATTGATGATAAATCATTATCTTAACGGTGTTTACATCCAAGAATGGTCGTTTTAGGCCCAATTCCAGAGTCGTATGCAGTAAAAAAGTGATTAGTGTCTTTGAAATAGACTTGTCAAAATTTTAAAAATGTCCGAAAAATTCAATTGACACGGCGCGAAATTTAAATAAAGTGGTGGTTTTCTGTTATTTTTCCGTTGCAGCAATTGTTGGTTTTGTGGTAAAACGGGTGCTTGCAGCGTTCCGGTCCAGTTTATCGAGTAAATGTCCTCTAAACGAGTATAAGATGACATAAAGACTTTATTCCATCGCTATTAAAAATGTATTAGCGTTCAGTGGCGTCCGTACAGTTTTTAATTGTTTAGCTTTAGCGAGATTAATTGAATGATTAGCATTTTTATCGTCGGCTAATACCTAAATCAGTTCCACTCGGCTAAATTATTTCCCCCTCCATAGTATTTGTTGAAATTCTCACACTTTTCACACCAAGATCGTTAAAAAATGCAATAGCACGTTTCTCCCTGTCGTTAAACCGCTCATTATTGCATCGGTTAATGCGGAAAGTTATTTTTACTCTTACGTGATCGCGGTAGGTGGACACACACACGAGTTCATAATAATGCAAGTGAAAGTACGACGACGCGTTTTACGTTTGAATTTGAAATTCAATTTGCACCGCCAATCTCTCTTGCACTAAATTTTCGCTCCGTTGCATAATTGCGTGTTGTTTGTGTGGTTTTTTGGGGAAAAGAACGAGGAGAGTCATGGGCGGACGAAGAAGGGGGGGGCCCATAACCCTGACTCAGCCAAACGAATGATTTAAACTAGTTTTCGGTATGTTTAAGGTTGAAAAATATACGATATTTATGCTTTTCCTCGATCTCTTCACTTTTGACATTTGGTTTTTTCAACCGACTATTAAATTTTACGCCGGACATTAACGTTTTACACCGATTTGCAACCAAGGACGGATATTTCTCTCCAATCTTTCTTTATTGTTATTATGAAGATGGCTATTTTTAGATTTTCGGTAAACAAATCAATTCCTAGTTTCGTAATCAACAAGGAAAGAAAAATAAAATTTAATGCAACTTTTAGCTCAATTGATTGAAAAAAGGAAGGTTGCGGTGCGTTTGACATAGCGGTTACCATGGTTTCTTTCACGAAAAGAAAGTCATTTTCCCCCTCTTTAATTTTCAGGACACACTATATATCCCATACCCACATTTTTTCATATAGGATGTTACACCTAAGACTATCCATTTTATTAAACTCTTCCCTGCTAAGAGACTATCATTCAATATTTCTGAATTAACCAAATTATAAGTATAAAAAAATAATTGAGTGGAAAAAATGTAATTTTAGCACCTAATTTCCGTCCACCAAATAAAAGGAATAAGTTTCAATTTTTTCATTTTTCTAAACAAAAACTAATAATTTTGTTTATAAACACGATTTTTTTATAAAATTAAAATGTACCAAAATAGTTGCTAAATATTGCTCGGCAAGCGCCTCGGAGAATAAGTGTAAAAAAACAGCTTTAGTGCTGATATTTTTTAAATAATTATTTATAAATTATTAAAATACCCTGCAACCATCATTATTGTACCGCCAATTTCAACAATGACGTATGAGTCCAGAAAGGAACTTCTTTACAGACTGTCTCGTTCACTTTACAGACGATTTCAGAAAAGTCATTCTTTTCTTACCTACAGAATGAGTCATGAAACAAGTATACAGAGAAAAATTTCATGTAAGATAAGATACCAGGAACATGGAAAAATGTTTAAAAAATCCCATATGTCAAAAAATTTTGACATTTGACATTTTTTTATGTCTATTTAATGATGCTGATGTTCTTGTATATGTTTTTTAGAATTGTTTAGTAAAGGTACAAAAATTTTGCCTATAAAAGCCACAAACAACATTGAACAGAGTTACAATTTAGGATATAGTTTCCTTGTTTCCTCTTCTAATAGCTTGTGGCAAAAAAACTTGAAAAATTATTTTTGCAACAGAAATAAGTAGAGTCAAAGTGCACAATTTAAACTCTCATAACTTCGAAATTTTTTTAGATAAAATTTTTTTAACATTTTTTCCATGTTCCTGGTATCTTACCTTATATGGAATTTCTCTCTGGAGAGCGAGTTCTGGCGCACCCCTGTATAGGATGATCAAAAGCAGGTTATGTCACATAATTATATTTCAATTCAAAGTGTCAAATCATCTAAACGATTTTCAGTGAAATTTATTGCAATTTGGTTTTTAGTTTATTATTAATAAAAAAATAAATCAATAACAATAATAGAGACACTCTGTATAAATGTCTAAATGCATATAATGAAAAACGTGGCAACAATAGCAGCAACTTCTTAATCATTAAGTAAATGTCGCTTTGAATTACATAATAGCAGAAAAGAAGGAAGTGTTACATGAGGCAGCCTGTATAAAAATGCCATAGAATGCTTTGTTAGGTTATGTTTTAAAATAATCTTTAGTTATGTTAAACCAGTAGTTTTGGCGGTAAATTCAAATCGCGCCTTGAGCGACTAGATTTAGTCATTGTATATAAATGTCATCTGTCAGTGTTGATTTATTGTGACACATTAAAGGTCTTTTATTTAAAAATGTGTCCGTTTAATAAAAAATTTAAAACAAATGAAAAGTGACGTAAATCTCCTTGATCGTAACGATCTAGCCGCCCATGGAAAAGTTCGTTAACTCCTTCGAGCCGGTCCTGACCCACCTCGTGTCAGTTTGTAATACGCACCGACGGCCTTAGTGGCAAGGTCGGTTGGCGTCGCGACGCTGTTCTAACTTACATACCGTGTCCGCAGCAGCAGCAGCGGTTGTTATCAATCCATGCGTCGTAATCTTATCACAGATGAGATGAAATTTTTATTGGCACTCACACACACGCACGCACGTCCGCGACTGCACTGAACCCAGCCGATTACACTTCGCAAGATTTCAACACGCCGCCGGCTATCAACACGGAACTCGGCGCATAATAACGCAAAACGCACTTGCGTGAAACGGCGATTTTGGCCGTTTCTGCATCCATTGACCTCAATGTTTGGAAGAAATTCGCATTTGTACGATGAAGGTGCGTTCACGAGGACGCAACGAAATAAAGACGAGCTCACGCAATCGCAGCCTTGACTTCAAGTAGCAAGGCGATTTGTGTTAGTTATTAGACCGAAATGTGCTACTTTTATTATCGGACGATTCTTGCGACAAGAGTTAAAAGCTTGAGAAAGGTGCGTTGACACTGTTGACAGTGAGATTTGGATCTAGTCGCCACAGAAGCCAAAAAATTGACGCTCGAAATTTACCTGATAAGAAGTTACATTGACTGATTCATTAATCAAATAATACGACTCGTTAGATAATAACAAAAACACACAATACGACTAAATATGTCAACAGACTCTAAAAATATACTCAAGAACATTAAAATCATTTTTCAAAATTTCTTGTCACTTATACTTGGTTTCACATGCATCTGACCACTTTATAATGCTATAGTATAATGTACTGCAGCGAATGAACAAACTCTTGCTAAACCTGGTTTACAATCCTTTTTAACAAACTTGGAAAAATATCCCTATTAATTCTTACTACAATTTCAACTTTCTACAATCTGTTTGTTTACTTTTTGTTATTCATTTCACTTTTGTTTAAAACAGCGTTTCCTAAACTTCTTAAAACACGGAGCACTATTTAATAGTTTGCACATTTTTAATAATATTTTATTTATAGTACCACATTTTTTGTAACTGTCTTTCTGATTTTTCAAACTGTCAATGTTTTCATATTCACTTTAAGCGATTTCAAGGAAAAAAAATTGTCACGACCCAGGGTTCGAACCTCCCAACTTTCGAGTTTTTGCCTAAACTAGATCCAATTTGTGGAGGTCTGTGGTTCGATCCCGGGTTCTGTCATTTTTTTTTGCAACTTTTTTTATCGAATAATTTTAGTTTTAGTTCTTAGCTGCCACAAAAGCGAAAAAATTAACTAGAGACCAGACAATAGCCCCAAAATACGTCAACAAACTCCAAAAATATAGTGAAGAACATTAAAAATCATTTTTCAAATTTTCTTTGCACCTATAGTTGGCTTCACATGCATCTGTCCACTTTATACTGGTATATATGTACTGCAGCAAATGAACAAACTCTTGCAAAACCTGGTTTATAAATCTTTTTGACAAACTTCGAAAAATATCACTATTAATTCTTACTACAATTTCAACTTTCTACAATCTCTTTGTTTACTTTTTGTTATTCATTTCACTTTTGTTTACAACAGCGTTTCCTATACTTTTTAAAACACGGAGCAATACTTAATAATTTGCACATTTTTAATAATATTTTATTTAATGTTATGCATCATAATGGTACCACATTTTTTAACTGTCTTTCTCATTTTATCACGAATTTATTAAACTATCAACGTTTTCATATTCATTTCAAGTGATTTCAAGAAAAAAAATTGGCACGACCCAGGGATCGAACCCCAAACTTCCGAGTTTTTGCCTAAACTAGATCCAATTTGTGAAGGTCTGAGTTTCGATTCCGGGATCTGTCAATTTTTTTTTGCCACTTTTTTTATCGAACAATTTTAGTTTTGGTTCTTAGCTGCCATAGAAACAAAAAAATAACTATAAATTAGAAAATAGCCCCAAAATACGTCCACAAACTCCAAAAATATAGTCAAAAACATTAAAATCAATTTTTTTTTGTCAGTTGATTTCACATCACCGTCCACTCATCATTTACGCACCTTTGCTTTTTAGAGAGAAGAGAATGAACAAATTCTTGCAAAATCTAGTTTATAATTCTTTTTGACAAACTTCGAAAAATATCACTATTAATTCTTACTACAATTTCAACTTTCTACAATCTCTTTGTTTATTTTTTGTTATTCATTTCAATTTTGTTTAAAACAGCGTTTCCTATACTTTTTAAAACACGGAGCAGTACTTAATAATTTGCACATTTTTAATAATTTTTTATTTAATGTTATGCATCATAATAGTACCACATTTTTTAACTGTATTTCTGATTTTATCACGAATTTATTAAACTGTCAACGTTTTCATATTCATTTTAAATGATTTCAAGAAAAAAAATTGACACGACCCAGGGATCGAACCCCAAACTTTCGAGTTTTTGCCTGAACTAGATCCAATTTGTAGACGTCTGTGGTTTGATCCCGGGCTCTGTAAACTTTTTTGCCACTTTTTTTATCGAACAATTTTAGTTTTGGTTCTTAGCTACCATAGAAGCAAAAAAAATAAGTAGAAACCAGAAAATAACCCCAAAATACGTCAACAAACTCCAAAAATATAGGCAAAAACATAAAAATCTTTTTTTTTTGTGACATTCACCGTTCATTTGTGTTATTGCTCATTTACACACTTTTGTTCTTTGGAGAGAAGAGAATAAACAAACTCTTGTGGAACCTGGTTTATAATGAATTAATGATACTTTTTGGCAAGTTCGAAAAATGTCATTTGTTGTTATCACAATTTTTTAAACTTTCTAAAAAATCTGTTTGTTTACTTTTTGTTGTTATTCATTCTACTTTTGATCACCCTTCATCGTGTTTTACTATTAATTCTCAATTAAAAAATCCAGTTCGAGGCCGCACAACTGACTCACCCTGTATAAACAAATTCTTGTCCAACACTTGCACTTTCAGTAGCCAAAAATACGGAAACATAAACCGCGTTTATGCAACATGTCCTATTTTTAGCGAATCAGAAATTACAAGTTTGCAGGTTTATTTTTGTCCCAGTTTAAAGAATTGAAATTTTTTTCTCGAATTCAATTGAAAGAAGATTCCGAGGGGGCTACGTCAAGGTATCGGAGTTCCCCCTTCGGCGCACGTGTCCGAACGATTTCTCACCTTCAGTTTCGAATTTTCCGATTCGCGTGACTGCAATTTATTCAAAAGAAGGAAGGACTCCAACGGTCAAGGAACTCTACTTAACCACTCCGGATTATTCAATCAAGTCTAAATAGGTCCTTGGAGAGGCGCTTTTGCGTTGCATCTAAAGAAAGTTTTCGGGGTTTTAAAACCGTTTCATGGCCTTATTGCAGAATGCAAGACTGCACGTGTCGAACGAAAGTACCGAAACTGTGTCAGAGTATTGTTGCAGTCCGCTTTCTTCATGCACTTCCACGGTGAAATCAGTGTCGTAGCGAATTCATTTCAGCGGTTTTCGAACCTCCACAAGCGTGAAAAAACATTTTTAGCGTGAAAGGTGTGGCCCTACAGATGATTAAAATGCGAAAGGTTTAGGTCAGCTGAAATATAGATGACAGCTAGAAAGGTGGGGCTAAAAATTTGATTGTTCTTATGACGCAAGCACTGACTTTTTTTTTTAATTGCGTCAACTGATGATCTTATCTATCTATATCTCTATCGCATTCCCTATTTTTTCTGAATCTAAAATAATGCAAGTAATGCAGTTCTGAATTACTTATCGGTTTTAAAAAATAATTAGTATCTCTTAACCGATTTTTTACAAAGTGTGGTATTTGATAGTGAAACTAGTTAAGATACAAAAAAATTGAAAAAACCATCTTGTAGAAAATTTTATAAGCTATATTTTTCTATATAACTATTTTCTCGAAACACGCATCATTTTTGAGATACAAGTGAGAAATGATAAGGCGACACTGAAAAAATACTCGAAAGTTTGAGGTTCGATCCCTCGTACTGCTATTTTTAGTTTTTTTTTTTTTTTCGTCCAGAAATGTAAAAATCTGGGTAGGTCAAATTTCAGCCAGATTTTTACATTTCTCGACGAATTATAGCTTCAAGACATCAAATAACTGAAATTGGGTATGTAAGTTACTGTAGCAAGGGGACATAGCACAAAACAATTGGTAAAAATCGGTCGCACTGTTCGGCCGCAAAGACCAAAAATCAAAATTATACATAAATTCATGGAGATAAAAATTATTTAGAATCATGAAATATACCTTATTAAACAGTAAAATGTGATAAAATAAAAATAATAATAGGTACCGAACTAAAAAAAAATGCACCTCAGACTCAAACCCGCGGCAACTATGATCTATTTCGTGTGTAATCCGGCAGGTTGCACTAACACAAACGTTAGGTTTGCTACTCGGATTTTCAACACCGTAAGGATGTTTTCCAAATAAGTTGGATAAGGAAAGTCGTGTGATGTTCACACCAGATTTTTTTCTTAAAATCCCCTAAGTGTGAGCGATAACAACAACAATAATAAAACAATAATGAAAATAAAGGTGTTTTTTTTTTGTTTTTTTTAAACGAAAATAAAAGTAGTTAATAACAAAACGTAAAAAAGATAACAAAAATAGAAAAAAAAAGCGGTTTTCGAAATTTGTTTGGTCCGACAAACACTTGTTTTTCTGTTTTTATACAAGGCTTCTCAAGAGTTTGTCCATTAGAATAAATTTACTTTTATGTCAAATTATATACAGAGCTGCGCCAGAACTCGCGCCCCAGAGAAAAATGCCATATAAGGTAAGATACCAGGAACATGGAAAAAATGTTAAAAAAATGTTATCTATAAAAATTTTGAAGTTATGAGGGCTTAAAGTTTGCACTTTGACTCTATTTATTTCTGTTGGAAAAATAATTTTCCAAGTTTTTTTGCCATAGGCTATTAAAAGAGGAAACAAGGAAGCTGTATCCTAAATTGTAACTCTGTTCAATGTTATTTGTGGCTTTTATTGGCAAAATTTTTGTCCCTTTACTAAATAATTGTAAAAAAACATATACAAGATCATCAGTTATATCTATTTAAGATATAAAAAAATGTCAAATGTCAAAAAATAAAAGTCAAAATTTTTTGACAGATAAAATTTTTTAAACATTTTTTTCATGTTCCTGGTATCTTACCTTACTTGAAAATTTTCTCTGAGTCGCGAGTTCTGGCGCAGCCTGTATAACACAAGTGTGAAAGTGCGAAAATTAATGTTACCAATAACATATGTCATCAAGTAGACAAATATATTTGAAATAAACTCTATGTAACAAATGAATTTCTAAAATAAGAGTATTGTTTGCGATATTTTTAGAATTTGAAATATTTTGAATCAATTTAAAAATCATACATGGTGATTCAGATCCAAAATGCACTGAAATTCGAAACTTATAAAGAAATTGTTCAACATTTTTTTAGGTATATTAATTATTCCTTCATAATAACAACGAAATTAGGCTTTTAAATGTGTCATTAAATTTAAAAAAAAGGTGAAAAAATCTGATGTTTGAAAAAAATAAGCATTTAGAGTTAACAATGTGGAATATACACACAAAAAACCACGAGTTTTTGATTGATCAAATCAAGTTGGGAAAAAATTGCAATTTATGGTGAATTGTCACCTGAAACAATTTAAAATTGTCAGTAATCCAGTGTTGTCAAGATAATTTTAAAGTCAGGAGCTACTTGGATTGATCCACGTGTAAATTTGAGAGTTTACAATGTTTTTGTTATGTGGGTTATCGAAAAGATTGCAGATTAGAAAAGTTTAATTATAGATTAGAAGATATTGTGCGAATTCATTGCAAAAGTCAGTGACACCGTCTTTATTTACTTTGTGTGCAACTTTCGGACCAGCTCGTGTATAAAAGATTTCGATCGGTGGCGACACGTAAAACACATATCAATCCAATGACCGATATTGTAAGGGTGAATAGCACCGAAATGAATGAAAGTGTTTATTTATAACTTTGCAACATTAATAAAAATGTTTTTTGTGGTGGTCCAACACGATAAAAGCCGAAAAATACAGCACAAATAATAAACAGAG